TGTTACAAAGTACATATCATACTTTCCAAAAATGGATCAAAAGTATCCTAAGTATATATATCAAAAATATGTATCGGGCTAACTACATGACCTGGTGGTTAAAGCAGCTGGATCCCACAGGGCAGCTATGAAGTTGAGTCCCATACTGAGTGGCTTGAGAAATATTCCTGGCATGTAGCATGTTTGCTCAAAATCCAAAAAGGAGGGAGAAATGGAGGAGAAAAGATTACAGCATGACTACGGTCTGTATGGAGGGTTTTTTACTTTCCCTCTCTCTGTGTCTCCCTCTAGTGAGTACACACATTCACTAGAAAAAGAAAGAAAGAAAGAAAGAAAAAATACATGCATCGTAAGTATTTGTTTTATAATTGAAAAAGGAGAGTGAGGAGAGAGAGAAAGAAAGCACTCCTCCACCCTCAATGAGTTGTGGTCATGCTATGATCCTTTATTCTCCGGTCCTCCTCCCTGTCAGCGTTTTGTGCACTCATGCATCACCACTGTTGTGTTTTTGCTAGCCATTGGAGAAGGCGTTCTCTCTGTAGTCAGTCATGCAGGATCTGACTTCCTGTGCTTAACCACTGCACTATGGGGCCAGCTCTGTATCGTAAGTACATTGGAAAGCAAAACACCTTGAAAAAATAATAATCTCTTAAACATCTGCTTTCAGTGCCTTCAGAATTATTACCAGTAGAATCTGTATACAAGACAAATAGCACACACAATAAAGTCTTTGTTACAAAAGACATACACACAAAGTCACATATTAATTATCTGTGATACAATATCAAGCATAAAAACCCGGGCACAAATTATACATGCTATAAACGCAGTTTTATTTTAAAGTCATATACATATGTATTTATCTTATTTAAAGTTATCTACACATATACATACCTAAAAATATATACAAACACTTAGGTAATGAAATTATAGGTTATTTTTAGTGTCCTTATAGTTTTTTTATGTATTTTTTCAATAAACATATATTATTCTTATATTTATAAAGCAAAAAGGCTTTATTCTCCCCATAGAGCACACACCAGAGAAAGGTAGTGGGAGGGATAGTAATCTCTTCTCCATTTTCCTCCTGGAATTTTGGACACGCACGCACATGAGTCTGATGTGATTTTCAAGCATTCAGGTCTTGGAACTGGGACCAGGGTCAGCCATGTGGAAGTCTAGTGCCTTAACTACTACACCACCCATTGGCCCCAAAAAAGATTTTTAAGAAAACTGATAAGGTATTAAGGAATTGACTGAGCTAAAGAAACTTGATTCCCAAATTGCTTTCATCCCCCTTTCAGTTTTTTCAGTCTAAAGATAAAGGCTATAGGACTTTGTCTTAGATTTGAAATTTAGCCTTTATTCCTGTTGTGTTAACCACAGGATGAGTATATTAGTAGCTTATGTATTCTAAGTTCATGATAATAAATGGTTAAACAATTCACTTTCAGAATGTTCTTCATTATTTTATCACAGAAACTTTTTAGATAAATTGATGATGTATTAAATGTGCTCAGTTGCCCCGTATAAACCACCCAACCAACCAACAAAAAACAAACCAATGTAGGCTTGTGCTTTATTCTTTAGGGGTAAAAAACATTTTTTTTCATGAAATCCACAGCCTTGAAATTCTTCAAGGCCTGTTTTGAGTTGGAATATTGAGCTTTGGCAAAAGAATTAGATTCCTTTGATGAATATCTAGGCCTATTGTGAGCAAAGATCTTGGGATTCCATGGTCAGCACGCTTAGCCTTCACATGGGAGATTGTTGTGGCATTCATGGTCGTTTGGTCTTTTCAACTGAAGAAATTTATTGGCGTTAAAGTCCAGTAACTTTTCCCACCTAAGCATATCCATGCCAGTGGTGATGGTGCTTTCATTGGCTTGTAGGCAGCTTCCTAGCTGCACTTACTAGAAACAGGTAGATGTTTCAAGATAAGTCAGGTGATCCTCAGACATGGTGTAGGCCATGAGAAAATGCTGATTATTGGTTTTCATTTTTCCCTGCCCATGGGTTAAGTTTTCACTTGTGTTAACATTTATTCTTTTTATTTTAATTATGTATTTATTTTATTTTATTTTTAAAGTTTGTTATAGGTCACATGCGCTCACCAGACACAGACAGTTCTTTTACACTGTTGGTGAGAATGTAAATTAGTACAATCATTATGAAACATAATAGCATGGTGTTGCCTCCAAAACCTAGAAATTGCACTGCTGTATCCTATACGGTCCAGCAATCCCACTGCTAGGCATATATCCAACAATACAAAGGGCATAAACATGTCATAAAGTTATTTGCAGCACTATTCACAATAGCAAAGATGTGGAATCAACTTAGTGTTTATCAATTGATGAATAAAGATTTATATACCTGTGTATAGACATGCATATATTCATAATGGTATACTATTTTGCCATGAAAAAGAATGAAATCCTGTCATCTGAATTAACACTGGAGAGCCTGGAGGGCTTTCTGTTACATGAAATAAGCCAGGCACAGAGAGAGAGGTACCACATGTTCTCACTCATGTGTGAAAAGTAAAAAAGATGACCTCTTAGAGAGAATGGAGAATGGCTACTAGAGACTAGGGAAGGTAGAGAGAAGTAGAGATAGAGATGTTGGTCAACAGAAACAAAATTATAGATAGATTAGAGAACAAATTCTAGTGTTAAAAAGTACAGTACGGTAACTATAATTGATAACCATTTAATATAAATTTCAGAGTTATTAAAAAAATATTTTAAATATTTCCAACACAAGTAATGAAAAATGATTAAGATGATGAATATGTTAATAACCCTGATTTAATCATTATATATTGTAGTTTTATACTGAAAAAGTACATCATACCACATAAATATTTATAAAAGTATATGTCAATGAAAAGTTAATTTAAAATACATATCCAGATCTATACTATGTATTGAAGGAAAACACAGTGTGCTGACAGTCAAGAAAGGGCTCATGACCCCATAACTCTAATCCTTGAAATTTTCATCTACCTGAGCTTGTTTGATGGATTTAAAGATTAGTTTATGAATAATTAACTTCATGGAAGAGATCTGGCTACTACTAAAGAACTAAGAGCCAGAAAAATAATATACCTCTAAAATTATAATTTTAATAAAAAACAAATTTGATTGACAAATTAAAAAAAATAGTACAATTTCTGCCCTGACCATGATGATACAGCTTCTATTAAACCAATTCCCAATGGGAACTATTATTAAAACTGGGTAAAATTTAAAAACAATGACTTTAAGGCACCAGAAAGCAACTAAAGCATCTAGGACTTGAGAAGCCAACATCTCAGAGACAAAAGAAGCACACTGGGCTGAGCACCACATTTTTCTGGTTTTTATTGTTGTTTTTTTTTCCCATTGGATCCCCTGTCTCTTTGCAATACGTGAACTAGAGGCTAAATGCAGAGTGGTGTAGGGGGCTTGCAGCAATTTCTCTGGGCTGCATAGATAGAGATTAGAGGTCAATACCTCCTTTTTATTTCATTTTTAATTTTATTTATTATTTTATTCTCTTATTTTCTTAATTTTTTGACATTCAATCACTGTACATCTTTATAGCATACAAAATAGTTTTCCTAGCATGAATACACTATATATTAGTGTATTCAAGTCAAAGATAACACCATATACATTATCATCAACAGATAATTTTACATTTTTGTGTTCATTAAATGTTTTGCTTCTTTTATTTCCTTTGATTCCATCTGTCCCACCTCCCCAATTGTCCTTTCTCCTCCCACACTGTCTATATTATCTACAGTTGCTCTCCATGCCTTTATACAGTTTAGTCTTTTAGTTTTTGTCATAAAGTACAGACATATGGTATATATTAAGTGGGGACATACAATGCTTCTCTTTCATAGTCTGCCTTGCTTCACCTAACATTAAATCTTCCATATTTGTCCATTTTCAATCACTCTATATTACAAAGCTGTGATAGTCAAAACAGCATGGTACTAGTACAAAAACAGGCACGTAGACAAATTTGACAGAATAGAACCCAGAGATAAACCCTAAAACATACACCCAACTGATTTTCAAAGAAGAGCACAAGTTAATACAGCAGGAAAAAGAAAATCTCTTCAGCAAATGGTGCTGTAAAAACTGGAGATCCATGTGCAGAAAAATGAAACTGGACCCCTATCTCTCACCATTAAAAATCAACTCAAAATGGATCAAAGATCTAAACATAAAACCTCAAACTATTAAACTACTGATGGAAAACACAGGGGAAAAACTCGGAGATAGGAGGGAGCAAAGACTTTTAAAATAAGACCCCTAAGGCATGGGCAATAATCTTAAAAATAGGTAAGTGGGATTACATAAAGTTAAAAAGCTTCCGTACAGTCAAAAACAAAAACCAAAACAAAAATAATAGAGTGAAGAGAAAACCCTCGAAATGGGAGAATATACTTGTAAACTATGCTTCAGATAAGGAACCGATAACCAGAATATATAGGAAACTCAAGCAGCTTACCCAGGAGGGGGAAAAAAGCCAATCCAATTAAAGGCCACACTTCTTAAGACATTAGATCCCAATGAAAAGGAAATGGAATCTCAGAGACTTGAGCTTGAAATTCTATATGCAATTTTCCCTCGAGGTTTTTGTTCATGCTTAATATATACACAGATGGGACAAGACTAAAGAGCTAGGTAGAGATTTCGACAGTCTTACAATGCTGTAAAGACAGGGGTAAGAGTTTACAGTATGCCAGGTTGGAGCAGAATCATTCAGTAGCCAAAGACTTCGGTGAATCCTGATAGAGAATTAGAAAATCACAAATATTTAAAAATTAGGCAATACATGTCTTAATGACCCATAATTTGAAGAAAACATCAAAATAGAACTTAGAATATCAGTAAATTTAAAAAATTGAAATGAATCATAATGTAAAATGATATAAAACTTGTAGGGGGGAATTGTGGCACGACCATGCCTCAGTCAGAGAAGTACTTTCCGTCTCTCTCTGTCTTGCCATCTCTCTTTGGTGAAATAATGCCAGTCTTGCAGAAATTCCTCCAGAGCATAGAGAATGTGGGACCACTTCCCAATTTATTTCTGAGACTATCATAACCTTACTCCTTAACCTAGAAGAGATATCACAAGAGAGAAAAATGAAAACCAGTTCTCTCCATGAACAGAGGCAAAAATATTCTCAGTAAGAAATCAAGTCCAGGGATGTTATCAATTAGATAATAGGGGACCAAATGAGTTTTTTCCAGGAGTGCTGGGGTTTAAAAAAAAAAAAAAAAAAAACCTCTCAGTAGGTTCAATAAAGCATTTGATGAATTTATCACCCCAAAGTGAACTAGGAAAAAACTGAAGATAAACAAGTTTCATAAAAGTATAAAAGTATATAACATTGGGGACCAGCAGGTGGCATGGTGGTTAAGGTGCTGGACACTCCTACATGGCTGACCACAGTTCAAGTCCTAGACCTAGTGGCTTGTTTTCTCACTTTCTCTCTCTGTCTCTGTCTCTCTCTCTCTCTGTCTCTGTCTCCCTCTGGTCAAATTAAAAAATAAGTGAATAAATAAAATAAAAAATACTTCTTAAAAAAAGTACATAACATTACTGAGAGAAATTTTACATGCAAAAATAAATTGGTATCTTATTTATGTATTTATTTTATATGCTATAATAAAAAATACAGTAAAGCATGTAAAACAGCTTTAAAGTTCTTATTAAAATGAAAAGGCAAGAGCAGTTAAGTCAATTTTAAAGGAAAATAAAACAATCAATGGACTTAAAAGGGCAGATAAAAAAATGGTTTTGAAACTATAGTAATTAAAACATTGTGGTAATGGTGAAAGCATAGATAAGGAGATCAACACAGACCAATCTAAATGCAGTTATCTAACTTACCATAAAGTGCTACGGCAGTTCAATGGGAAAATTCTTGTAAATATGCTGTGCCAGATAAAGCATATATCTGTTAGACTCATCTCACACAGTGTAAAAATCCAATCTGGTTGCACAGAAGTAGCATAACACTTCGCAATGCTGGAAGCCATCTAGAAGACTGGGGTCGGGTCCCAGGTCAAGCTGTATACACTGGGCAGACACCCATGTGTCTGTGATCCTGACTGACCGAAGAGCTGAGGCAGAGATCACAATGCAAGACCCTACTGAGAGTGCTCCTCTCTCTCCCTGTCTCTCTCATGAAATAAATAAACTTTAAAAAATGTCAGTAAGATTACTAAAAAATATCAAATCCAAATGGAGCATAAACATAAGTATCTTTTTTTTGTCTTTTCTTTGTGTTTTTTTTTAATATCTTTATTACTTAGTGAGAGACAAAGATTTCTTGAAGATCAATAACCATAAAAGAAAAGATTGATAGATTGGACTTTATTAAAAACTTCTGTTCACCAATAGACACCATTGAGGGAGTTTAAAGGCAAGCCCCAGTGTGGGAGAGGTTATTTATAATACACGTAAAGGGCTCATATACAGACCATATGTTGAAATTTACTAAGAATAAGAAGACAACCAACCTAACAGAAAAACAGAAGAATGTAAATGGCCACTTCACAAAAACATGTATCCTCATGAAAAATTTTGTAAAGCACTCTGAGTTAATACTTACCAGGGAAAAGCAAATGGAAAGCTTGAAGCCCTTTTTATATGCACCCAAAAGAATGGCTAAAATAAAAAAAAAAAGAAGATCAACAGCAAGTATTGACAAAGATATGGAACAAGTAGGAATGTTATACCTGTCTAGGGCATACCCTCTAGGGCCTGTAAACTGGTATGATTGTTTTGGAAGATGTTTTGACAGTATCTACTGAGGCTGGATATGTGCATATGCCATGACACAATGATTCTACTCCTAAGTTCAAAAAAAATTTCCTTGCAGCTTTATTTGTAATTGTCCAGAACTACAGCATAATCATAAAATCCAGTTAACAGATAACTTGTGTCATATTCACATGATAGACTACTACAGAGTAATGAAAAAGGATGCATGATGTCACACAAAACAATAGAATTAATTTTACAGACAGAATATCGCATGAAGGAATGATATCACATATATCAAATTTTAGAACATGCAAAATGAATCTATGAGGATAGACATAAATAGGTCCTCTCTTTTTGATTTGGTGATAATGGTGAATGGATAAGAGGTAGGCTTCTGGGGAGCTGTTAATATTTTATATCATGATTGGGGTGGTGGTTTCACAGGTATAGTCACTTTGAAGAATCCTCTGAGTTGTTGACTTCACTTAATATTTGGGTATTTTTTGATTGTTTTGTTTAAATCAAAATTAACAAAATGAGTAACATGACATTAAAATGATATGTTATATATGTATAGATACATAGAGTTCAAACTATTTTTGTATGAAAATAGACTCATATTTAATTATTTTTTACCTTTATGAAGTCCTCTCATGTAATATATATATATACACATAACATATTATATATACATATAATGGTATAGGACCTCCACCAGCAGGTATAAAAATAATTTCAATATATAGAATGTGTATATATATATATATGTATATATATACACATTCTATACACATTCTGTGTGTGTGTGTGTGTGTGTGTAGTGCTCTTATAAGGAGTTGTACAGTCATTTTATTTCATGTGCTACTTCATATAGTATGATTATATTTCCCTGATTAGATACAGCACCTAATTAAGAGCCAATGCCTTATAAAAGCACGATTTTTTTTTAATTATATAGTGTAACTAATACTGCACCTGTAGACTGATAAAGTATTCTCTAGAAATATTTACTGATTACAGTCTGGACATGAAAATGGGATCCTATACTCTTCATCATAATGGAAATCAGTGATGGCTGTGGATGCTATCGTGCTTACCAATGCAACTTGTCCTGAATGAGGATCAACTTGGAAGACGGTAATGACTAGCGTGTGGAAATGAGCTCACAAAGAAGTGTGGTAGCAATTAATGAATGGGATTGTACCAAAAACCAATTCGTTCTTGCTTATAGTTTTGCCAAAAGACAAAATATAGGAATTGTCTTTTATTGTTTATTTATTTATTTTGAGAGAGATTTTTGCTATTAAAAATTGCCAGAGGCACAAAGAGAAACAAAGAGACAGAAAGTGAGAAACCATTTCCCAAGGGGAATTGCCATGCCACAATCTCTTCTCCTCCATTCTCTTTTTGGGATCTTGAGCACACATGCACACATACCCAGTGTGAGCTTTTAAAGTCTCTGGGTCTGGGACTATGTGAGAGTCCAGTGATGCAATCATTCTGCCATCTGATGGTCCTGGAATTGTCTTTTGTTGTGAAATACATAACTTTCCTTTGAAGTCAAGGGTGTCATTGATTGATCATTGAATTGTTCACTTACCTTTGAAAAATGCAGGTTGCAATTTTATTATAGTTTTGACAAGTAACTGAGGGACATTGAGTTTCATAACTGCAAATTACCTCTGCTTTCTAAAGAAGGCAGGGTCAAAGAGTGTTCTCTACCACACATGAAGGATGTTCAGAGCTAAACTGATGCCCTTGTTACACTTCAAAATAAAACAAAAGTGAAAAAAAATCTTTCTATTCCGAAGTGGAATTCAGATCAAATGCTTTGCTCTTGGACCATTTAAACCTTTTGTGATAAATTGAATTTTTCACAACTTCTTTAGTTGGTACAAAAGAAATACTTTCTTTAGTTGGTACAAAGAGAAAAGACTAGGAAATACCTCAGCTGGCAGTCAGAACAGATACCTGACTTTGGCTTGAAAGCCATGCTTTCTTTAATTTCCAGCCAAACAAAAGGGAGGTCCTTTGTTGTGATGTGTGAGTGTGTGTGTGTGTGTGTGTGTGTGTGTATGTGTGTGTAAGCCATATCAAATATCAGCTACCCAGATTTACCTTACTAACCTGTAATTAGTCTTTGTCCCAGGTTTTAACTCTACAACATGTCAAGGAAACAGACAGTACTCTTGGTCTCTATTTTAACATGAAATTTGTTCCCCCAAATTCCATTCTCACTTAAATTCCTGCCACGTTAGCTACTCTGAATCTGACATTTTATTTATCCATACTTTTTCACCAGTCTACAAATGGTAAACAATCAGATCTAATTTCCATTCTCCTGTCAAACATCTTCATCTAACCAGGTGGAGGAATGGAGATGGTAGGATTATTCAGTGGTATTACCACTGGACCTTGTTATTTAGACATTTAGGGTAAGGAAACAGAATCAAACTGTTGATGTTAAACTAGATAGGCTGATCAGTTTAAGGGCTTTCTCTCTGATCTTCAGTAAGGAACCCAATACATCCGGGGGAACTCTATTAATCAAAGAGATGAGGGTTCTGCTATTAATATTTAATATTACTATTTTCCAGGCTTCGCAGGCTGATGCTGGCACAAGCACATTGATTCCCTGGTGCTCTGAGGTCAGGCCACTGCCTTTTTTGTTTTGAGGTTTAACTAATCGATATAGTCTGGCTTTCAGAGACGGCATGTTATCGCAGAAAACCAGAACAGTGATACCGTGTTAAGTCAGTTACAAACTAAGTGGTTCTTCAGGCTTTTGCTGCTTTGCCGTGAAATTAGCATCCAGTAAAATTTGTATCTATGCTCTAGGCCCAACATATGTTTCACATTTGCCAAGTAAAGTTTCGGTTCCATTGCCTCTTGTTCATCGATTTCCCATCTGCGATGTGCATCTCTTCCTTCTTCTCAGAACAAGAGTCGTAAGTCCCAGCGCCTTTCCTGTTCAGATTACCATCTTACAGGGACTGGAACTCATGGGCTGCAGGAGGCTCTTCTTTTCTCTCTTGCCTCTGGAATGTAGCCAATCAACTAGATCATTCCCACTACAAAGAGGACAGAAAATAATATCTTAGAGGCCGGGAGACAAGTTTGTGCCATACCAGGTAACTGTCTTAAGTAAACACATAAGAGCGACACAATCATGTAACACTTCCTTACTTCAAACAAATGCTAACTCATAAGTAGAGAAAGAGGGAAAACGTGTATCTACCTAAGTGCCAGTTTACACTGAAGAGCATTTACAAGTCACCACTTCTTGGTATATTTTCATCTTCTCTTAGACATTTTATTTATGAACACTTTTTCTTTAAAGAGGAGAGGGATGGAATAATTCACCACTATTATTTCTGTAGGATGTCACTACTCACTTTCCCACACTAATAACCTTGCCTCCCTCCGATCTTTGCTAAGGGTTTTTGAAACTCATTACAAAAAAAAAAAAAAAAAAAAAAAAGAAAAAGAAAAATAAACCATAGACTGTTCTGTAAAGAGTTAGTAACCCATTGTACATGCAGAATAATTCTTACTAAAATCTCATGAACTGAATGCAAAAATCATGTATAGGTAGGTGTGATTGTTTTTATCCCTGGGAAGAAGATGCACATCTGTCTTCAGATTCTCAGAGCAATCCCATGTTCCCTGAAGGCTAAGAGCCTCTACAATTGCAATTGTTTTTAAATTTTATTTCTGGATTTGCTCAGTCTCTGACTTTTATAGTATAAAGTACTGAAGGTTTAGGCCCCTGCTACTTGCCTAAACTACCAAATGTTCTAGAAATTATTTAAAGTAAAGGGATCATGTTGTTCCATAGTTTGTCTTTTTATTTTACTCTTCTCTGTATCTGGATGACTTTCAGAAAAGTCAGAATCCATGGCTGGCCTCTCATCTTCCCTTTTTTTTTTGAGAGAGAGAGAGAGATTTTTGCTATAGGGCATGAGTGCTTGCCTGGAGAGACAGAAAGCAAGAAATAACCCCCCAGAGGGGTGCCACACTGATATCACGTCTCCTCCATTCTCATCTCAGGATTTTGGGCACACATACACGTTCCTGGTGAGAATTTAAGCCTCCTGGTCCAGAACTTGAACATGGTCGACTATGTGAGAGTCCAGTGACATAATCATTCTGCCACCTCTCGGTCCCTCGTCTTCCTCTTTAAGGCTGGCAGAACAGCCTGCCACTTTATTTGCCATATGGTTATTTTTCTTAACTCTTTTCTGTTTTTGGAAAGCTTATAAAATATTCATTTTCTCCCATGTCTCTCAGATAACTTTATCTCCCCTAGCTCAGAGGAATTCATACAAATTGTGTGTTTTCTGGGGAGTTCATGTTAGTAGATCCGGAAACTTCTCTGCTTTTACACTCCCATTCTCATGTACAATGATAGTTTCAGGCTAATCTCGAGTGATAGTTTGCTTTCATAATTCATATCATTTAATGTACAGAGGACATGGAATATACAGAGAATTTGCTCCCTCGCTCCCTTGCTCCCTCGCTCTGGAGAAGTTTTTAGAATGTCAGTAATTATATTATATCCCATTTACTAAAAGTGTTATCCCCCAGCTTGATTAGACCAAGACCACAAAGCCACGTAGGTAGTCTACAGCCTGGCAATATTCACCAAGTTTATATTCTGTCCAGACAAAGATACCAGCCAAGGGCCACCCGTGACTTTTCTACTAGATCCCCTAGGGAGATAATTTATCAATAACTGGGCCAGAGAAGAATGTCCTGGCATCAATTTCAAAGTTTGAAAGTGAGATGTTTCAAAGCGTTTTTGAAACATTTTGAAAGACGATTAGACAATACCACTCCGTAAGTTGGAATTTCTTTATTCCTGTTTAGCCAGGAAGTTCACATTTTGAATCGGCAAAAATTGGTATAACGGATATAATTTCAGAATTTGTATATTAAGTTTGATGGAAATCAACCATTTAGCTAAGGTCGCTTATCTGTTTCATCAGTTCATGTTTCCAGGTGGGAAACCAGAGGCAATCAAACAGCTTGTCCCATTAATGAAGCAGGGCAGAAAAGTTGCTTAAGAGAATGTTCTCACTCATTCTTAATCCTTGTTAAAATTTCAAATGACTGCGAACACCATAACTTTGCTTCACTTGAAAATATATTTGAGGGTATGTTCTTTAAAACACCTTTTCCTCTATTCGATGTTCACTTGACATAACCAATATTTGGAAATTCATCCATTGTGTTTTTGGTAAGATGATTGTCCTATTTCTGAGAAGGAACAGTCAAAGAAAAACAAGGGTAGGGACCAGCAGTTAGCGAAATGGCTATGTCGCTGGACTCCCACGTAGTCAACCGCGGTTCGCATCCCGCACCCGGTGGCTTAAAACTCACACCAGGTGCGTGTCCATGCGTGCCCAAGATCCCGAGAGGAGAATGGAAGGGATTGTGGTGTGGCCATCGTCCCTGGGGGGTGATTTCTGGCTTTCTGTCTCTCTGTCTCTCTGGCGAGCGCACGTGCCCTATAGCAAAAACCTCTCCAAAAAATAAATTAATTAAATTAAATTAAAATAATAATAATAATTTAAAGAAAAACAAGGGTAATTGCACACAGAAGTGAAGTTCAAGTCCGTGAACTAACTGAG